AAGGCAACAATGGCAGTATCTACCACAAGAGGGGAGGGAGCTGTATCCCCCAATGGACCCCAGGTTTTTACAGAATACAAAATTCCTATTTTATCTATCAGCCATTTTGGACATCAAAAAAAAAAAAATGGGGACCGCCTGCAAAACCTTGTAACTATAGAAAGCATCCACTGATGATGACACATGCACCTTGTAAAGCTTTGTGCAAGCGTGGTTCGAGTTTGCAGTCAGATGGCAAAAAAAACCCAGAGGTACTCACAGCCCTAGCGGAATTAGCTTAGAGGGGAAAAAGAGGGTTAACCTTCATATCATATACCTGAACAATAGCATGGCAGATTCACTGAGAAATTAAGGAACCCCATTCTTTAGACCCTCAAACTAGAATCCTGACTTCCTAAAGAAGCTGTGGCGTTAGAATAAACTTCAACAGTGGAGAAGTGGAGAAACAGTGGAGAGATCACCTTAGAGTGAATGGTTGCTGGACACTTGCAAGCAAGCAAGCAGGAAGATAAGACACAAGGAAGATAAGACTGTCTTCAACTAAATACAAGTAATGTGTTACAGAAGGAGTGGATCAATCATTATACCTACATGTAAGATAATGGTACCCCCATCCCATTTTTGAGGACACAAAAATGTAACTTAAGGATAACAACAAATCAAGGAAATTTAAATGTGTTCCTCATCTTTTATTTATTACATTGATTTAGATAATTTACCATTTGAATGATCTATCTAAACCCATATAAAACCATATCTAGGTTAATATGTATCTCATCATTACCAATGCCTGTTCCAGCAAAGGGAATCACATAGTACAGTGTGGCAAACAATGATTTGATCCCCTGCAATTTTGTAAGTTTGCCCACTTACAAAGCAATGAAAGAATATAAACCACAAATCCAGAAAAAACACATTATATAAATGTTATAAATTGAATTGCAGTTCAGTGAGTAAATTAAGTATGTGATCCACAAGCAAAACATGACTTAGTATCTGGTGGAGAAACCCTTGTTGGCAAGCACAGAGGTAACACATTTCTTGTAGTTGGTTACCAGGTTTGCACACATCTCAGGAGGGATTTTGGTCCACTCTTCTTTACAGATCTTCTCAAAATCCTTAAGGTTTCTTGGCTGTCGCTTGGCAACTCGAAGTGTCAGCTCCCTCCATAAATTTTCTATAGGATTAAGGTCGAGACTGGCTAGGCCACTCCATGACCTTAATGTGCTTCTTCTTTAGCCACTGCGTTGTTGCCTTGGCAGTATGTTTTGGGTCATTATCATGCTGAAAGATCCATCTACGACCCATCTTCAGTGTTCTGGCTGAGGGAAGGAGGTTCTCATCTAAGATTTTACAATATATGTCCTCGTCCATTGGCCCTCAATGCAGCAAAGTCAGCCTGTACCTTCTTCCTCCTAACACAGTGATTCGAGGTAATGCCGAAGAGCTCAATTTTGGTCTCATCTGACCGCAGCACTTTCTCCCAATCCTTCTCTGAATCATTTAGATGTTCATTGGCAAACTTCAGACGGGCCTGTACATGTGCCTTTTTGAGGAGAGGGACCTTGCAGGTGCTGCAAGATCTCAATCCATGGCAGTGTATTGTGTTATCAATGGTTTGTTTGGTGACTGTGGTCCCAACTGCCTTGAGATCATTCACAAGCTCCTCCTGTGTAGTTCTGGGCTGATCCCTCACTTTTCCCATGATCATCCTTACCCCATGAGGCAAAATCTTGCATGGAGCTCCAGACTGAGGGCGATTGATGGTTATTTTGTATTCCTTCCATTTGTGTAATCGCTCCAGCAGTTGTTTCCTTCTCACCAAGCTTCTTGCCGATAGTCTTGTAGCCCATTCCAGCCTTGTGCAGGCCTACATTCTTGTCCCTAACGTCCTTTGAGAGCTCTTTTGGTCTTGCCCATGGTGGTGAGGTTTGAATGAAGAAAGAGATTCTGTGGGCATGTGTCTTTTATATACTTAACGAGTTGTCGTTAGGAGCACCTTCTTAAATTGACAGGACTAATCTGTGTACCACATAGCCAGTCTGTGGGAGCCAGAATTATTGTTGGTTGGTAGGGGATCAGGTATTTATTTTACTCACTGAACTGCAACTCAATTTATAACATTTTCCGGATTTTTGGTTGATATTCTGTCTTTATCATTTAAAATACACCTATGATAAAAATTATAGACCTTTCATTTCTTTGTAAGTGGGCAAACTTACAAAATCTGCAGGGGATCAAATAATTATTTTCCTCACTGTATATGCACACATTCTATTAACCCAGATCATTGCTGGAATCATGCATTTCTCTGTATCAGAAAACTGATGCACAGAAAGATACAGAAATGTGTTCCCACCCCAGCATTCATTGCTTATCAGCAGACACTGAAGCAGTCTAGGCTGGGGAGGAGATGAGTTTCTGCCATGCACATTGACTAGATGTATCTTTGTAATAATTTTTAAACTTTAGCATGGAATGTGGCAAATCTCATTTATAAATGGATATATTATATTGACATTTATATTTGATTTCCACAGAAAAACAGCTGACTGCCTGTCCTTATTAAGCGGAGTAGTCCGTGCAATGCATTAATGCTTGAAGTAGTTGTCTATCATTCCAGCAAATTACACACAAGGGCCATCAACATACATTATTCTAACACAAATCTGGGAAATAGAATCAGTATATAAGATGAGAATGGTTCTCTTTGTTGGAACAAATGTTGTTAAAAATAAGCTACAAGTCAATCTATATATGCTTTTATATGGGTATAAATGATTTACCCATAAACCCCATGCTCAGGCCATTTTTCAGTATTCAGCGCTGTGGTACTTTGACTGACATTTATTCCATCATCCAACGTTGTACTGAAATTAAATTTATACAATTTTTGGGGGAAACATAGAGCTTTCTTTTGGTGGTATTTAATCACCAGTTTTTTTTTTATTTTTTACTATATAATGAAAAAAGTACAGAGAATTTTGAATAAAACACTTTTTTCCCTACATTATGTTATAAAACATTTATCAGCACCCAATTTTTGGTAAAATATTAGAAGGGGTCATGTCGGGTTTATAAACACCAAACATGTCAAGCTTTAAACTTGCGTGTGCCTGCGAAATCGCACGCAAAAAGCTACCATGCCTAAAATTAGGCGATGCTTTAAAAGCTTTTACCACTCATCAGTTTCAGTGTTATCAGTGATTAATGGCCCTAAAATGATTGCTCTCACTGCGACGCTCACGGCGATATGTAACATGTGTGGCAAAATCGTTGTTTTCACGCGTAGGCTCACCCGACGCGTATTTACGTTTATAAGTGCGTGATAGCCAAAAAACAATGACAGGTCATCTTTATGGAGACATCAGGGGTCTCCAAGACCCCTAATGTCACCTGGGGGCCCCCAAAGAAGCTGATGGAACAGAGATTTGTGTACATTGTAATACAAGCAATTGGCCGGCTGTAGAGCCAGCCTAATGCTTGTATACAACAGTCGGTAACAACTGTACACATTACCAGCGGGATTCTATTCGCGCGAGCAGAAAAAAACCACGTAAATGTACGTTGACCCGCCAAGAAGCATCCGTTCAGCAAGGGGTTAAACAAGAGGAGGAAAACATTTTGATTCTCTTGATTTGTTGGTATCCTTAAGAGTCCCATGTTTGTTGCTCTTTTTATAAATGTTTTATAAATTTGTTGCTCTTTTTATATATGTTTTCCATTCATTTAGATGAAAAGACAGAGCCCACTTTAGGCAGCAATGGTCTCAGTCTTAAAACAACCTTAGCTTTGTGGAGCTTCAAAAAAAAAGTTTCCTTACAGGATGCAGCAGCTAGCTCTGGAACCCTCCTAACCTACAGTATGTAATTACCACAATAAAAGCCACCTTGTGAGAAAGGGAGGACAAGGGAATGTCCCTGTTTAGCCCAAAGGGAGGCTTCTGAAAAACAGAACCAATATCAAAGCCCTGCTTGGAGTGGTGCCCTAGAAGAGGGAGCTACACAAATAATTTATTAGGTGAAATTCCAAAATAAGTAACCAGAGGTCTTTGAAAAAGATGATCGAGGACCAACACCTTTGCACTGACATGGTGCCCAGTACACTGCCCCAGTCCACAAGGCTCACATATGTTGTAAAGACCTTCTATTATAGAAGGAGAAAGTACCTGCCTGTCCCTAAATGGACTTCCCTGTCTAGGGACAGAGGCAACTTTGTCCCACAGAGAGAGGCTGTTCCTCTACAGGACCCTTTGTAGAACTGGGCAAATGGTTTTCACTCCAAAGAGGACACAATAATCTCCTCAGAGAAGAACGATGCCTGGACAAGAATTGCTGTGCCTGAGAGTGAATTCTAGCGCATAATAATACATTTTTTTCTGAGGCAGGAAAACCCTGGCAAGTGTGGTGTCTCTAGTGAGACCTAGATAATCCAAGTGATACCTCAGAGTGAGAAAAGACTGCTGGACAGTGTCCAAAAAGTGATGCTGATGTTAGTAGGCAGGTCTACTGATGAACACTCCTGGAAGAGTAGAATGTCCAGGTAGTAAATGACTGGGACGCCCCGCAGGTACAGGAGAAGACCTGTAAAATGTAGATTCTCTCACTTTCTATCACAGTGACAATAGTAACAAAGTCAAACAAAACTGTGTAATCTCACCAGCAGGGACACACATAGTAGTTAAAACCTGACATTGTTTATAACCCTTTCCTACTCTATACAAAAAAAAAAACTTAATTCACCCGTTCCATCATCAAACTGACCATGCTACCTTTAACGACCCTTTGACACTTTGACCCTCTCCATTCCAGTGCTGCTGAGATGACTTAATGTTATGTTTAGCTTACCTGCTAATTGCTATTTGCTGTAATGTATGCTGGCAACATTGTTTGAGCACTTAACCATTCTCTGTCAGAATGTTTAAACTATGAATGCTAATGTTAAACAAATGTTAAATATGTTTATGATTTTTATTTTCGATTTACAATACGTAGACAAACCTTATTTAGTTCATCCTCCAACAAACATGCATCAAGGTGAAGATCTTGAAAGTGATTCTCTTTCACAGTTTTAATAACTTGATACATTTCAGTATAATCTACTGTGCTCAAGTGAGAGAAGTTGATATGTGGTGGAATAAGATCATAGCTCAGAACATGAGAATTTAAATATCCAAGAATTTTTTCAGCATTTCTGCAAGAGAAAAGTGAAATCAGTGAAACAAGACAACGTACTTCTACACAATATGTAGTTGGTGTGCAGAACAAATTATGACAGTTGCCACTGAGAGAGAGAACAGCATTGCCAAACACATGGAACAATCTCCATGGTACCATGCAACATTTAAAAAAGTGAAATGTCAGGCAACCTGTAGTATTCTTTGTGCTTTACTGAAAGGGGAAGTCCTTTCAAACTAGTGAAGTATTAGCGTGGATGGAGGAATCTCTCAGCTTGAGAGACTGAACAAAAAAAAAAATCTCTCCTTGCGTACCCAGCTTAACAAACAGTACTTCTACAAATGCATACAGTTACTTGCAATGCTACACTTGTACATACAATTATCTACATGCATGGATACTAGTTTGTTGTAGCGTGTATATGTTTAAAGATAACAACATTCTACTCTGGGGTCCACAGTTTTTCAAATGTTCTACTGTATTCAGTCCTATCTAAAAAGCATTATGATTTTTTCTCCCCCCCTGAATTTTCTCTTTTTATCTCCTTCTCTTTTTCTGATCTTTCTCGCTATGCTTCTTTTCCTTCTGCACATCTCTCTTTTTCTCTCTACCCCGATAGAACAATTAGCTTCTTTTGCTCCCCCCACAGTGGCGATATTTGTCGCACATTGATATTTTCTCCTATACGCTATACTACCATTGTACCTTTTGATGTAGGTCTGTGACAAGCCTGCATGGGCAGAGAGTGGATGGTTATCACCTCCTTATACCTCATATTGTTACCACATACCTATGCTCTACCTACCTACTCTCCAGTTTTCACCTTGTACTGTGTTGATTGTTGTTTATCTATGTTTCATTTTATTGCCACTGATGAACCAAAGCCTTATGTTGCAAACTTTCATGAGAATTGTTCTTACGGTTTGCTTTGATGTGTTATTTCTAATTTCCTAATAAAGAAAAGATTCAACTCTAAAAAGCATTACGATTTTTAAATTGTAGCTCTGTAAAAAAAAGAAATCTACAATTTAAATGACCGGAAAGTAATTTGCTGATATAAATCATAAAAACAGTATAGCCTTACATTTGTATCACCATATGAAACTGTGTACTTCTATTAATAATTTGTAATATTTTCTTAAGGACATACATTATAAGGCTTTTATTTTGTAAAGTCCGAAGGCTTTCTTTTTTCTCAATGAAGCCTCCAACCTGCATGTAATAACTATGTAATTTCTAACAAACTGGTCACATGATAGGGTGCCATGCTGATTGGTTCCCAATTGTCAGTGGAAACCCAACCTGTCAGTGACGGGCAGGATTAACGGCCACCAGCTGCCCGAAATGTTAGTTGGTGGCTCTGAAGGTGAAGAAGAACTTTTATAAACGTATTCTCAGCATGGGGAATCGTGCTGGAAAATGTTTACATACAGATGGTGGGCGAGAAGGGGTAAAAAGCTTCAGAGTTCAAAATATGGAAATGGTAGACATAGGATTATGAATGTTTCCCAACCTAAATGTAAATCTGTTGAAGTACTCAAGAGGACATGCAAACTAAACTCAGTCTGTCTACCTGCATGATGTATGTAAGATTATCAGCCCCTATACTTACTGTACAACACATTTTTCATTCATCAAATTTGCCTTGAACCCAAGAACAGCAAATACAACCAAGGTGGCCAGCACTGAGGTGAAGAAGTTGATGAACGAGACAAGGGCTGCATCAAACTGGCAGTTATTATCTTGCTTATTATAGCTTGAAAAGGCAATGACACCACCAAAGCCTAGGCCTAGAGCAAAGAAAACTTGCGTTGCTGCCTCCCTCCACACCTGGGGGTCCAGCATCTTATCAATCTGGAATGGACATAAAACAAATTGGAAAACGATGCCATTTATGCAGTTTCACTTTGGAAATCAGAAATAATCAACAATACTACCTGAGGGGTTAACATATGAAGAATACCATCAACAGATCCTCTAAGCAGCAATCCACGTATAAGGAAGCATATAAGCACCACATATGGGAAGAGTGAGCTAAAGTACATAACCTGAAAGGGAATAAAAGCACAAAAAGTGTGTTTAGTTCTAAAAAATACACCTGGTGAGTAGATCTGTGTGTGAAAAGGAAGCTGCTCTGGTTCATTGACAGAATATTTGCATTATTATATACAGTATGAACAATTAAGCGGATCAGTGCTAACTATAGGGCAGTTATATCCTAGAACCTCTTTTTTGGCATAAAATCAAAGCTTTCGTAGAACAGTATTATACGCAGGGAAATGAAAGTGGACCTAAAATTTTAGGGAAATCTAATGGAACTGTACTTTGAAATTTGTTGCAGCTTAATAATAATCCACTTAATGGATGCAAAATATAGCAAAAAAGTAAAAAAAAGAATAGAATAGGTAGCCTTAGAGCTACTGTCCACCAACTTATATCTGATACCAAAACAAAGTTACTGAAAACTCTTCTAAGTTCGCTGTTTCTGCGGCACACCCATTCATTTAAAATGTATATTTTTTTCAGAAAACCAGATAAAATAATCTGGACTGGGGCCCTATTATCTGATATGCAACTGCAAAACCAATCTCTTTATTGTCTAAGCTCCATCAAATTAATAACCTTGTCAGCCTAGTTGCCAGTATTACAAATTCCAAATGAAAGAATTTCATTAGCAATAGTAAAGCATATTTTACCTTCCCTGAGGACTGGATGCCTTTAATCATGGCCATTCCTACAATAGTCCATGCACAGAACAAGCACAGTGTCATTTTCCAGTTTAGACCTCCTCCTTCTGATATTGAATTTGAAATATCCAGAGTTTCTCTATACCAGAAGTAAGTTGTAGCTGAACTTTTATCACACTCGGGTTCCACCACTGAAAAACAAAACAACAGGCAGGTGATGAAAATATTTTCTCTTGCAACAGTAAAAAGCTTACTCAACAAGGCAAAGGGCAATGTAAAGCAACCCAGCCTAATTCATCTCCTACTGGCCCTTTAGTAAATTTAAACTGGACTGAACGGTTTTCTCATTATCATTGTGCTGCCTTACTAAACAAGCCTGAGAGACTTTGCTAATATATGGGCACTGGCCATAACTGAGCCACCATTTCAGTAAAGTACCGATACTTTTTTTCCGTTACTCGCCGATACCGGGTTCCGGTGCCTTGTGCTCCGATTATCGGGAAATCAGGCAGTGAATCATAACCCTTCGTCTGCCTTCCTGATTGCCTGTGTCCAAGCGAAAGAACACCGGCTTCAGCGGCCAGTAAAATCGTAGTAAAAACGCGGCAAAAACACAATGCACTATGTTCCAAATCTGGCCCAGAAAAAGGTGTGAACCCAGCCTAAAAGAGAAAATAGACAGAGCTGTATAATAAATAGCCAGAAAGCTGAGAGACATATGTGTCTGTAATGCCAACAACCCCAGCTGGGCAAAATGCTCATAGTTTATATATATACACACACACACACACACATATATATACACACACACATATACACACACACACACACAAATATATACTGTATGTCACACAATTTTCAAACAGTATAGCTACTTACTGTTTACAGTTCCATTTTCTACAAGTGGACATTCATTCCAAGGTAGAGGATACTGGAATGACTGGAAAAAGTAGAATATGCTCCATCCAATGATGACATTATAATACAAGCCGACAAAGAAGCAAACCTAGAAATAAAAACACTAGTAAATAATCTAAACACATAACCAAATCATCTAAAATACATGTACCTGTAGCATTTCACAGTTTCTAGACTGCAGATGCTCTGAATATTTTATAATAAAGCATGTTAGATATTGTAGTCCTATACATACCATGTAAGTAACAAATGCATGGGACTAACATGTTTTTGGAATTGCAAGCTGAATAAATATCATACTTATTCATGTTTCACTAGTTATGTAATCACTAAACTAGCACATTAGGTATCCCAACAACAGATATACACACGTGTTCCAGGTCAGTGACTCATCAAGTAGTGAAGGATGAAAAAGGATAACTGCCCTGGAGCTTGCAACTTCAAAAAACAAGTCAGCAATGACAGGTCATATTTTTCTATCTTGAATGGCTCTTTTTCAAGTAAAACATATGAAAGAAATATGTATGATACCATTGATAGCCACCTTCTTAATATTCTAGCCTTATAACTGATCTTTTGACTTTACTACTTTCTAAGTCAATGACCCAAGTATTCTGACTTCAAATTGCTGCATCCATGTTCTTGGTCATTGAGTCAAAATATGTCAGCGAATTAGTATGAGAGAAAGCATCACAGAAGTCAGCATCACGGAAATAGGGCAGCAATAGCAGCTGACAATGAAGACAGTAATTACAGTGGCTATAACATCAGAACCAGACTTGCATGTGTTCCAGCAATCATAGAACATTATCATATTTGGGAGGTTCAAATACTGTAGTCTCATTAGAGAACTTTGGGAGACTATACTCATAAAGATAATATTAATTTTTTTTTTTTTAAAGCTTAAAATAAGCTAAGAGAAATCTCAAACTAGGTGCTTACCACACAGCTAGCATAGCCAATTCCTCCAAGACGTGGGCATATGTAATTCCACACACCAATGCTACCTCTACGAATTTTTTGTCCCACAGCCAGCTCAAGAAAGAAGAGAGGGATGCCAATCAAAATGAGCAGGATCAGGTACGGCACCATATAGGCTCCTAGACGACAAACAGGTAATTTATCATTCTAGAAGCATATTAGTAGATCTAAATAAAGTGAAAAATAAAAAGGCACATAAAGCAACACAAAAAGGAAGAAAAATAGATCTGTACCTTTCCTTGGAGTGCTACCCTTAAAAGCAATTACAGACATCTAAGCATTTAAAAAAGTGTTTTTTTAAACAATGAAATGTAACAACATATTAATATGCTAGGACCATGATCATTTCACAACGGAGTACAATGGGCTTGCTAATGAATAATTGCAAAACTGTTAAAGACACACATCTTTGGAATGGAAACACAATGGAAACAAGCCGACTCTTTATATGGCTTAGGCAGCCACTCTGTCATCTAAATAAACTATGTAAGAAGGGATTTTATCTGGATAGCTTTTCTCTTACTTCCTGTTGTGTATACGGAACAGGGATAGAAGCAAAGTCTCCCCAAAAACAAAATGACATAGCTTAACTATTTCCTACTCTATGGAAAACAAAACAAAAAAAGTTTTGATTTTAGATATACTTCATTTCTACAAATATAGATATAATGTTAAACATATCTGAAACTTACCTCCACCGTTTTTCTGGCACAGATATGGGAATCGCCACACATTGCCCAGACCCACAGAGTATCCAATTTGTGCTAGGATATATTGTAATTTGCTGTTCCATGCTGGTCTGTCCTCTTCTAAATTTTCTTCCAGCTCTTTTCCTCCGCACTGCTCTCCAGACACAGTTAGAGCACTGGCCTTGTGATCTATTGGCTCCTCATGGGCCAACAAGTCAGCAACTGATTCTGTAACATGCTGGTTGCTGTGCTCTCGCTGGGTAACTTTACTGTTTTTAGGCATTTGGAGATGAGTAGATTGCGGCTGACGAGAAAACTGCTGGAACACTGAAGCTATTTAATACTAGCTCCCATGCAAAATCAGTCTGTAAAAAAGAAGAAAAAAAAATGTGATGTTGGCAATTGTTTATCCTTATTGTAACATTGTATAAACAACAATAATGATACTATTTTATGAGTTTTAAAACAGAATACAGTATATTATCTAAAAAAAAAAACCCCATCCAAACATCATGGGTAGAAGTGCAGGGAGAGATAGAGATGTAAACAAGACTACCCATTATTCTAAATATCCACTTAAAGCAGATCCTCCTCCAGCAAAAATGCCTGGTAAGAATGTTCTCAAGGATGTCTGAAAAATACCAGAGCAAAGAAAATAGCTTGCTGCAGTACAAATGGTGGAGAAATGCTTACAGCAGAATGTCTAGAATGAATGATGGCAGAATAGTAGCTAAGGAGACATTACACCTCTGCCACACTTACCTCCACATTTCTATAAGTCTGTCATAAAAATATCTGTAAAATGCGACTAAATTATATATTGCAGGTAACTGAAATGAGCCTTTTATGTTCATAAAACATGTGCACTTTTACTTGGCAGCTATAAGAAAAATCAAGTCAATGCACTATTTCCACTTGAAAATATGGCCACCCGCTCAAGGTGAGTGACTAGCCACAGGCTCCACTGTGAAATCCCAACTAATATTGTTTAAACAGTAGCAGGGGTCACTGCTGACATGTTTTACATACTGATGTCCAGTTCATGAAGGAATCAATCTTTTGAATCGATTCTTTTCAGTGAACTGGATGAATTGATTCATCTGACTGAACTGATTCGATTGACACAGTTGAGAATAGGGAGGGAACTCACAGTGTTCGAGTCTGCCATGGGAGCTAAACACGCACCGCAACATTGCCTTTCAACTTTTTACAAAGCAATTATTACAAAGGAAAACAAAACACCAACATATTTGACAAAATGGGAAAGGGAATTTATGCATACGCTTACGCAGGAAGAGGTTAAGAAAATACTAAGATTAGTTACTACCACAACTATAGATGTAAGAACAATGGAGATAAACTATAAACTGTTAACACGGTGGTACCATGTCTCGCAGACATTACAAAGGATACACCCTACAAATAAAGCAGGCTGTTGGAGGGAATGTGGAGGGGAGGGAACTTTCGCACATATATGGTGGGACTGTCCCAAGATAAAACCATACAGGGGAATGGTGAAAAGTATAATTATGCAAATATGTGATGTACAACTACCCATAGATCCCTGGGTGTTTTTATTTCACCTCACAACAGATACAGTTAAAGCATATAAAAACTATTGGGGCACAATTAAAATCCCTTCCATTGAGAAGTGGTTGAACAAAATGGATGCCACTAGGTTAATGGAAGAGATGGTAAAGACGAAGCAAGATAAATATGAACTATTTTTTCAGATATGGGGGAAATGGTGGGAATTTAAGTAATCGAAGGCATATTGCCTGTATGTCTTAATGAGGGAAATAACGAGGTAGTAGGGAATGGGAGACAAGGTAAAGGGTATGAGAATGAGTGAGGTATGAGTGAAGAATGGGGTAAATTTGATATGAGTAAAGCATAGAGCCTTGGGGAAATGGGTCGGGGGAGGGATGAGTGTTGATGTTTTGAATTTTTGCACCATGAAGAATGATAAGATGAGTAACCTGGGGCCATGCACCCATCCATCTGGGGATGGGGGTAGGGAAGAATGGGAGAGGGGGGTAGGGAAGGAGGGAGGAATAGGAAAAGAGTTAGAAACAAAGAGGGGCAGAAAATGGAAAGGAGGAAATTGGGTACGGGTTAAGTGTTACACTAAACACGAGGAGGGCAAGGGGTTGAGACGCAGTTAACACATAAAAGAAGACAATGAACATTGGTTCATTAGAACACAGGCAAAATTTATTTAAAAGCACTAATAAACTAAGGGGAAAGAACAAAACACAAAATAACACGACGGGGTATCCAATTTTGATGGGTACCCTAGATGGATATGGAAATGGATTAGAACACGGGAATATATAATACACTGAACACTTTGGGGAGG